CACCACAGACAGGGTCACAAAGCCATTTTGGCTCTGACCCTGGTAGTTCCACCACTGTAACCCAGCAATACATTATACAGCAATGCAGAATACCACCAGCTATAGAGGACTACAAATCTTAGAAATTAATTATGGTATAATGTAGAGCAGCAACAATACATATACAATTGGTGGGGGGAATGATTGTGCTGATCCATTCCTGCTGCATGAAGTGTGCAACATACTGCTCCTCTGTAGTCAAATCACATGCATCTCATAGCTCTGTAATGCTCATCCTGCTGCTTCAGCACACTGCCGTGTTATTGGCCTCTGTACAATGATCACTTGTGGATTTTCCAGGAGCCAAAATATTATTGCTTTTGGGAAGGTTCAAGCTCAAACTGCTATGTAACTTTATTTTATAGGAGAGTTTATAGGAGATAGTTGTTTAAAGTGTGCCATGAACTTTAGAGTGATTTTATGTCAATGATATGTATTAGCACTGTATATTCAATACATTATTTTTTTATGGTTGTTGATCTATCTTTGGACCACTGAGAAAGCCCCAATAACATTTTTATATGTCGGACAACGTACACCTACTGTGCATGGATTGCAGGGATCTGTAGTTTCATAGCAGGCAAAGCAACAGAATGCTCTTCTTTAAAATACTAATAAGCACCGACCAACAACTTGGGTGGAGCAGCAGGATGAGCATTACATTACTGTGAGATGCAGTGTCCAAAACTGTGCATAGTGTACAGCACTAGTTCTGTTTGTTCATCACAAGGGAGTGTGTGGTGTAATGCAGAGCTCAGTGCTGTGAGGCGTAATGCAGAGCTCAGTGCTGTGAGGTGTAATGCAGAGCTCAGCTCTGTGAGGCACAGTGCAGAGGTCAGGGTGTGACGCACAGTAAAGAGGTCAGGGTGTGACGCACAGTACAGAGGTCAGTGATAACAGTACAAAGGTGTAATGTAGAGGTCAATATGTAAGGAACCGCAGATGTCACACAGAAAGAACAGGGACTTACTGTGACTCCTTTTCTTTCTTGATTCAGGTGCTGTGCCCTCTTCTTTTCCTCTACTGGTGGTGGCGGGAGCAGGGAGGTTGCCTGAAAGTTCGGAGTTGATTGCTCCGGCAGCCACCTCGTGGTGTCCTCCCTTCAGGTCCCGCACAGCACTACACAGCCAGCCAATGGCAGATGTGCAGTCTCACTCCAAGCCTATAGCAGCAGAAGTGGGTGGAGGGAGCTGCCGTGGCCACCGAGGACCCGATCACTGACATGGGCATTCATGAAGGCAGCCAAACAGGGTATTCTTCTCCGCGGCCGCTGCAGTAGCAAAGCAGCCGAGAGGGGAGAGGTGATACAAGTGATTGTACCGACAGGGGCCGTTATTAAAGGCAACAGAGATGCCCGGGGGGCAATTGCCACCCTGCCCCCTGCCCAGTCCACCCCTGCACAAAGTCCAGCTCACCGCCTGTATAGATATGTCCCTTCTCGGGTTAGCATCCCATCCTGCCCTCAGAGGGTTCAAACACAGATGCCCAGCAATGTCTCGGTAACAGACAGTTCACAGCTTCACATTTAGCCATGTGGCTGTTCCAAACACACCTCACAGACACTGCAGGCTGCCTTCCTGTGCGGTTTGAGCAATGCCAGCAGGTGAAACAAAAAAAGCGTCAGATGGGACTGCTCAGCCAGGATACAGCAGTGCAATAAAAAGCATAATAAAGGGGGCGTGACCCCGGAAACGCGTCATCACACAGTCTTCCTTGCTAGCACATAGACACAGGCTGTGCAGCAATCACAGGCTTCTTCTTTGGTCCATGTACTTACACATTACACTGTAATCATGCCGACCTTTGTGAGTATGTTTCTTATTCACTTTTGTTTTTGTTCTTAATAAATTTGTCTGCACCAGGAAAGGCGCCCCTTGTTTGTGTTTTTACTGCCAGCAGGTGGGTTAACACTTACCAGGCCCGAACACTTACCAGGATGTAGGTATTATTTTTGTAAGTCCATTGATCAAATGTTAAAGTTGTGATAAATAAAAGATATTTTATTTTTTGTGCACACATCTTTATTTTGTGTGGCACCTGAAAAGTCCCATTGGTCAAGCTTCAGTTGGCTTTTTTGGTCGAATGAAAAATTAGGGGATGTGGTGTCCTGATGAGTAATCCGCAATCAATCAATTGTTGCAGACAGATATTGGGTCCTTAAAAGGATTTTTTGGGTGTAGAGTTAAGAAAATGTACCCTAGCACTGCAATTCAAAGAACCCAAATAATGCTTCATAAAGTAAATGTAAACCCACACAATAAAGTGTCACATAGGCTTTAACAGCTGATTATTATTATTACATAGTATTTATATAGCGCCAACAGTTTGTGCAGCGCTTTACAATGTAAGGAAGACATTACAATTACAATACAATTCAAGACAAGATGGTAAGGAGGGTCCTGCCCATGAGGGCTTACAATCTGAAAGAGGAGGGGGAAATGATACATGAGGAGGTAGCTGTGTGGGGATGAATTGTTTGAGAACGTGATGATACTGATATAAAGGCTCTTGTTTGGGCACTTTGTGTTATGGGGTGACAATGCTTTTCCCCTGTCTCCCACAATATTTTACCTGCAACTCATGCATTTACTTGCCTTACCAAAGGAAAAAAACAAACTTCTGTGTTGATGCACACTGACCACCCATATTAAAGAATATTGTTTTTAAGAAAAGGGCCTTTAAAAAATTGCTAACAGCAACATTTAGGAAATGTGCCCTGAGAGAAAACACATGCAGCCGGTTATTAGTGAAGTGCATGTGGAATGGGACAGGCTGTAAAACAAATCAAATGCAGACAGAAAAATGAGGATATATGCATGCATACAGTTTGCTCTGACTGCAGCGCAAGTGGACAACAGACGAGCTGCGCCAATAAATCTATTGCAGCCAACAAAAAAAACTAGGAAATATGTCCTGCAAAAAATGCATGTACTCTGTTATAACTATAAGTGCACGTGGAGAAGATGTAAAGAAGCTACAGGACATCAGCAGCAGTAAGATGTAAAAATACTTTGCTCCCCACTACCAAATTCTTTAAGATACACAGCATATTGCAACCTAAAGGACATTCAGTAAGTGCTTAGGAGACCTATGCCTACAAGCCATACACTAATCTGTTCCTATCAGCAGCACCCCTTATGCTTTCCCTATCACAGCTTAGCACATTGACAATATGGCTGTTGTGAATCCTTCCCTTTATAATGAAGGGACTGGCACATAATAAAGCTCTCATTGTTATCAATTCAAAGCCACCTGACCTAAGTTCAAAGGCCTGGAAGTGTATTATTGTCAGTTAGTTGCTATGGCAGCAAACAGCCACATTCGTTTGCCATTTCAACAAACTGCAAATGAGTTGGGTTTGCTTAGAATTCATGCTCACCCTGACCTTGAAACTCATGCTTATTTCCTATGCCAACCTGCATGGCATGCTGTGCCATACTGTAATCAGGAGAGAAAGCTAGCAGACATTTCTTTAAGAATAACAATAACCGGACATATTCTGACACTTCACTGCTTTAAAAAAAAGCTGAGAAAAATGTTAGAAATATGCTTTAATGGATTAATAAATAAAATGACAAAAAAGGAGAGCGCCCACTCCATGTGAAGGATCGTTTAACAATTTGCTTTTAAAAAATGGTAATGTACTCATAAGAGAAAAGTGACATAAGCGTATTCAATGGTTCCCCTCATAGGAGGCTATCGCCCATCAGAAGCCACAGCACAGCCAAGTCAGCTCACAACCAAAGTCGTCTTTCAACAGCAAGTGGAAAGGGTTAATGCGTTTCTGGGGCACGCCCCCTTCCTCAGAACCCAGAAGGGGGCACACTGACAGGTCCTCTTTATGGAGACACTAGGGGTCTCTAAGACCCCTAAAGAAGCTGATGAAGCAGAGATCTGTTTCATCAGCTTCTTCTCTCTGGCAATAGCAGCCAGATGACTGACAGGTGAATGCGGAAGTGATGTATTTACACATTACTTCCGCATTCACAGCACGGAAGGAGATCAGCAAGAAGGAAGATGCTGACCTCCCTCCCATCTTATCTCCTGACACCCTCCCGAGCCGGTCCCGGGCCGCAAATGGGGCAGCGGATCCCGGGATTGAAGGTGAGGGGTCATGAGGGGGGGGGGCAGCGGCACTCGAGGGGGGGGTCACGCAGCCAGCACATACTCACAATCGGCAGGCTATACAGCTGCCGATCGTGTATATGTGAAACAGCCGGTAACGGCTTTTTACATCAAACAGGTTTTTTCTGGAGACGGCAACCCGCCAAAGGCCGTCCGTCTGTTTTTTTGCAACGGGCGGACGGCAAGTGGTTAATGGATTCATAATGCAGAGTTTTTGTTTCATACTGAATATGTGGGTAAATTTGATTAAAAAAACCTGGTTAACTTTATCCATATAATGTGACAGATAGCACACACATATACACACACTCACATACATTCTTGTAAAATGAAACATATTGGTATGAGCTGCACAAGAAGAAACTTATTAGCCTTTCATTACTATTTATATTCCACATGCTTCCCAGTATTTTTATTTCAGAAGTTACTGGATCTGTGGAAAATTGTTATAAATAGGGAGATTAAATATATATGACACAGAAGTCACTGTATTGTGTACTCAGATGCTGGCTTGCATTTAATCACTTGTCTTTTCTAATGGAATGTTATTTGCTTTATTTAATATTATGAACCTGAATGTCATCTCTTGTCACTGACAAACTCACAGATACATAATGAACAGCTAGTAAAAATTAGCTTTAATGTGTGATATTATAGACTTGGATCACAGGCTACTCGGGGAATAGATTAAACATTGAAAAAAACATTATTGAAAAGTAAGTTGAAGGCAAGGCACTATTGACTATATTTAGACTAATCTGAAGCTGTCTTACTAAGATGAACAGAAAGAATCATAATAAAAACACCCAGCTTACCTATATTCTTATTTTTCATAGGAGAGCAATCAATCACTCTGATGTATGTGAGCTATCCTCCAAGAAGTTTCAACAATGAGCTTTATGGTTGGTATACAGCATCCAAAATGTTGATTTCAGTAAGTATTTTTTTTAAGTAAAGATTTAATCCCACTAGCAATTATATTTGAGTTATCGGTCATGTTGGGTTGATTCTACCTCCCATCCTCTTTCTGTCATTGTTCCCAGCTCTGCTCTCATTCACATACCTGTTTTAGGGTATTTCTTTCTGCCTTTGACTGTCTCCAATTTTTTTACAGTACTTAAAAAATAAAACCCCAGGTTACAGTTGAACTTTTTTAACCAAAGAATTTGTAGTTCTGATCAGACAATCTTGTAATCTAGACACTGCTGTCAGATAGCTAAGCAATACAGCCTTCCCCAAAACCCACCCCATTTGGTCACTGGACAGAGATGAAAAAACACCACACCATTGACACTATGGGGTTGATTTACTAACCTTATAAACACGCCACGAACAAGTATACACCTCTGTAGTGTGTTCCCTCCCAGCATGATCTATTGGTGGAATCTAGACACCTTTGTAGTGTGTACATACCCAGCAGGTGTGTTGTGCAAAGCCCTGCATGAATTGCAAGGTGCTGTTGTGTAAATTAGCTCTACATTGTGTTGCTTGCGTTAATGAATGCAGGAATGTAAATGCATGAGCTAACCATTTTTGTCTAAACTGTGAAGCAGCATTATATATGCATCATGTGCATGATTTTTCCATATATGGCATTAGTGGAAATATGCTTTTAGAGACTTTTTGGTTGATAAATACGTTTTGCTGTGTAAAAATCATGTATCTCCCATACTTTGAGCATGTTCCCTGTAAAGTGATGGAGCTCTGACTGGCCTGAAGTCTGACCTCTCATCTTTCCTAGAGTGCTGCTGTGCAACACATTATGGGAAGTTGATATAAACTTCCAGAAGTAGCCCCACTTCTAGGGTACGTTTTTTAAAATTCCCATGTTCCTCTTTAAACTGAAGTGCGTGAATCCTCTTAACCAAAGTAAATACTTGCAAGTGTAGAGGCTTATATAGCAAGTCCTATCTCAAGGTATTAATTTGGGTAACATGTTCGCTAAGCTATCACACGTTTTTGTAAATATTTTTTACATCGTTAGCATTGTTTTTTACATTGATTGCATGCCCCTTCTCCAATAAAAAATACTAGTCCTTCACAGTTGGCATAGGGCATGTGCCATCTGCTGTAAGTCTGTATGTCCTTCATCATATTGTTTAGGCAGTCAGGAAAGGAAAGAGGATTTTTCAGAGTCAGAATGAGTTGCCGCAGTTTGATTTTGGTCTCTGACTTATTCGAAAGTAGCAAAAATAAATATACTGTAAAAGAAATATCCAAAATTGCCTACAGAACAAATCTTTTAAACTCAGATGTAACATTAGATTCACTGTGCCTGATTATGTAGACAGATCTGAATAACACTGATTTCATATCATTCTTAATTTTTTATTGTTCATGGATATATTGAGCATTTCAAACGGTACACCTAGCTGAGTTATTGAGCACCCTGTACCTATTATTACAAAATCTCATTTTAGAATTGCAGTGAACTCAAAGTACAGAACTTGAAGCTAAATGTATAAAACTGACAGCGGGTCAACGTTTGTTAATCTTCTTTCTTAGGAAATAGTAAGGCAGCATATATCATTGAGTATTACAATGTACAGATATTGCTGTTTTTCTCCAATATTCTCAAGCATCAGTATTTCGAAACATTGAAATAAGACTGACATTTTAACTTTTATTAAAAGTGTACTTAAAGTATAGGAAGCATCATTTGAAATACATACGTTTACTACAGAAAAGAAATAAAGCAAATGTTATCCTATTAACTATTTGCCATAGTGTTTCTCATGAGAAAAACATGGCAGCCTGAAGGAGAGAACTTATTCTGCATAAAACAAAAAATAACTAAGGCAAGGAGAACAGAAATGCAGGCAGGTTTGTCAACTATTTACCTTAAAGTGACATTAAACCCTCAGATTTTTTAACATAAAACAATACTGTAATGTGTGCCTTACTGTAATCCATGGTAGTTTCCCTTCTCTTTGCTGCTCTTCCTTTTAAATCCTCATGTCTTCTCATGCTCTGCAGAACTTCTGTTTTGCAGCAGACTGCCTTGTCTCTGGAATAGATACATGGTGTCTGTGTGTACGTTGCAACCTAGCACTACAGGAAGAGGCACTGAGCTGAAAAGGGAAGTTCTCCCCAAGCATGAGAAGACATGAGGATTTAAAAGGAAGATCAGCAAAGAGAAGGGAAACAACCATGGATTACAGTAAGGCACACATTACAGTATTGTTTTATGTTAAAAAATCTGAGGGTTTAATGTCACTTTAAGGTTAATGTTCACACTTAGGGCCCATTCACACGGTATGTATGTGCACAGGTTTACCATTTCTATGGTGCTAGTTCACAGGAGTGTGTTGAAATGCACTGGACAAAAAAAAGTTATTGGTCTTCTTTTGATGTCAGTGCATTCTAAAGGGCTTCTTAATGAGAACAGCAGTGTACATCAATGCATGACAATGCATTTGCTCAGACCAATACAAAATGCAGGATAAAACAGATGCAAAAGGTGTGAAGCCAGTTTCAATATTGAAATGAATATTGTTGTGGAGGTAAACTTGCATCTCTTTTTCAGTCATGGCTGAAATGTGGTATTTCAGGCACAAGGTACAGCAGTAGATGTTTTGCATCAATTGTTTTGCCCTTTTCACTGGCTCTGCTACAAGGGAACTCAAGTTTGGCTATAAGTGGAAAGTAGGGCTATCTCAGAGGCTAGTAGGCATCCCAACCTTCTTTAGGTTAGGTTTTAGATAGGAACAGGAAACCATGACAAACCTAAGTTGAGATCTGCAACAGTAGTACCTCTTGGCTTGAGCATCTTGGATTTTTGGCTTTATCTAGCAAGACTATAGAAACCTCACAACATGCACTATTTGGCCATCTTGGTAGAGGGAGGTTTTTACTTTTGCATGTCAGAGCTCTCAGGAAGTAGAACAGTGAGCAGCACAGTACTGACATCACCAAACCTTAGTCTAAACCTCCTAAGACTAGCAGCCAGAGACAGCAGTACCTTAGATCTCACACTGCAGATATACAGCTATAAGGTTGTAAGCAAAGGAGTGAATGTCCCCTTAGGAGGATTTTCCTTCACTTCCTGCCCCATAGCTACAACAGTAAGGGAGAGGAAATCCCTCAAAAGTGAGGGGAGTCCCTGGTTACCACCAGGATCTCCAAAACTAGGTTCCCCCATGGAATATTTCCTCTCTATTTCTGTTCTAGTGAACATTTGTGCTTCTCTTTCACTTCCACTCTCAGTGATAACACAGACAACAATAAAAACTTGACAGGTGCCCTAATTCTTCTCCACTTTATACAAAACTATAAAAAAGGGCTTCTACTTTTGTTTTACAGTTTCTACATTTTTCAAAGCTGCATTTTTTTTCAATATGATGGGGCCCTTTGACTTTATAGTCAGTTTTATTTAAAGTTACATTTTAATTTTCCTTTAAAAATGTGAAAACATTTTCACCCTGTAAGTATAGGCCAGTATTGTCAGTGGTGCCTCACAACACATGCTTTCTGTTTGTCTTTAGTGAAAATAGAAACCCCCAGTAATCATATTAGTTATGTATGCTAGGTGATGAAAACACATGTTTTCTGTTAAACTGTTCATACCTTTGCTAGGGCTAGCCATACATAGATCAGTATTTTAACAAACCTGTGGCTTCTTTTATGTACAGAAAGCAGTGATGTGTAGTGGAGTCCTCGCGAGGTGAGGGATTTCCCCCTGTACGCCCCGCCCACCTCCGCCGCACCCCTGTCCCACCTCCGCCCCACCCCGGCCCACCCCCAACCCAGTCACCGAGCTGTGTGGAGTAGGGAGGGAGGTGGGAAAAGGGAGGAGACAGGGAGGAACCTTCCTGTCCCTTACTTGCTCATCACTGGTGGGGCATTGAGATCAATATCCTCAGTGTTTTTTTCTTTATTAGGCAGCTTGGACCAATAGTGCTTTGCCCTTGGTCCAAGCCATTGGTCATTGGTCCAAACCATCCACAGAGCTCAAGCCTCTAACAGCAAGCAGTGGGGAAGCCCGCTGCTGTGTAAACTAACTTAGCTGTCAAAAGCCGGATGAAGCACCACCTGTAATTAACAGGCAGCGCCCTGTCCATGACAGGTTACACAGTAATATTAATGTATACGTTTTGTGTATATATGTGCATAATGTTTTGTATGTATTTTTAATGATTTGGTCCAGTTTTGGGCTTTGCTATACATCAAGTTGTTGTCGCACCCAGTACCTTCAAAATTCCAATGCTTCTCTTTCTATATGTGTCCTTGGCGGGGTGTGATACAGGTGTATTAGAGGGCCTACCAATATGTGGTTAACTAAATCAAAGAATAGAACTCCTGATCTGCAAAGTTGTACTGTTCCAGAAAGTGTTAAAGTGATGGATTGACATGAGACCCAGGCAACTCACATTGAAGGGAACTGAGTAGTCTGAAGTGACAGGCTACATATTTTTCTCAGTACATGTGTTCTTGATGCTAATTTTTCATGGCTTTTCCGCTGTAAGAAAACACACCATACGTTTATGTAATCCTTTTTTCCTCCACATTTTCTCTTTTTTCTTTACCGTTTCTTTATTTTGCTCTTTTATATATATTTTTCTTCTAATTCATGCAGCTTTGTCCTCTATGTTGCATCTATAAAATTGCCTAATTTAAGATAATTATTTTACCATTTGCCTTGCCTAAGCTCTATAGTTTATTAGAACAAAACCTACAATAACATTAGAATTGACACAAAGGAATGCCTTCTTAGCTTGTTTTTCTAAATAATGCAGATTTATATAACTTATTTCTTTTACATAGACTTAGCTTATGAAAAATGTATATAACCTAGAACACATGTTAAATGAACCAAAGGGAAAAAAAACAGATGAAAAGGGGGAAAGGCACAAAGGTTAAAAAAGTTGAAACATTTAAAAAAAGGTTTAGTTTATTTATTTAGCAAAAAGCTGAGTATAAGCACCTTTTAGTACA